CCCCAAAACCCCAAAACCCCAAAACCCCAAAAGGCTAAAATCTCATTTAAGTCATGAAATTAATATATATTGAAAATATATCATTTTGTAATCCTTTCATAGTTACATATTATCATCTTTTTCTTCTAATATTTTTTGGATAGCTGGGCTCTTCATCATCCTGCATCTCTGGTTAAACTTTATGTAAACTATCCTGCATCATCATCCTACTTCCTGAGAGTCTGAATTACTCCTCTAGAGCTCTCTGCTAATTCATATTAGCCATTTCCTTAGCCATCCCAGTAGCATTGAACTCATCTTGAACTCTTTCCTCGATAGTTTTGAGAGGGATCTATCTCAGATTAGTGTGCTTAGGAGGAACTACTTTGATGAAGTCCTTGATTTTCATAATACTTCGACTGCTTATCACATTCCTCTGTCCATCATTATTGTACTTTTACCCTGGTTTTACCATTGTAGAATCAAAAGATTACTATTATTGCTTTTTGTGAGGGTTCTGCTTATTGTTACTTAAAATATTTTAAGTGATGTCAATGCTAGACTTACTATTTACACCACTAGAAAACTTTATTAGATTTTTTGTGTTTAAGCTCTAAATCTACTCTGGATTAAGTCTTGACATCTTATTTTGAAACTTAGAGTATTTCTAATTAATCTTATCAATTACATCATCTATTTCATTTTTCTACAAAAATTAAGTGTCATTCTTGATATTTTTAGATTTATTGTCCTAGTCAATATTATCAAGACTCTTTTACTGTCTTTTCACCTTGAAATGTCTACTTTGAATCTAATCTGCTCCTAGTAAGATCTCTTGAGACTACTGTGACTGCATACTTGGGCTTTATTGATCTCTCTAAGAGTAATTGACTTTCATTTCCTTTTCCTAAGCTTATGATTCAATTGCTAGTAACTTATCGAAATCCCTGATAACCATGATCTCAGGGGATACAAATTCCAGCAATTTAACGACCATATTATAATCACTATTCAAGTTTCTGTAAACCTTTTCGAACTTAAACGTATTGTACTCGATTACTTTATACTTATTGTGGTCTCTTATCTTCACAGCTGTGATATAATATTTACTATAAGAATTTAGATTTACACTACTTACTGTTTGGTTTTAGAAATTTCAACAAGATATTCGCCCTTTTTACCCTTAATCATAGCCTGCTACTGCATGAGAACTTTCCTGTCTTGAGGTAACTCAAAAACCTACTTCAGTTCAATATAGTGCTTCCTTAGTAATCCTCTTTCGTATTGCATTGAAATGTTAGTGACTATCTTAGTTTAAGACTCTGAGCGGTCTTGTAATATCTTCTTTGCGATTTCGGTCTGACCTATAAGTTTCTTTTTTGTTTCAATATCAAAGATTCTTTTGTTAAACTTCTCTATCTGTTCTGATATCTTGGGCAAAAATGTCACTTCTTCATTCTTTAGAAACTTCCTGACGAGTTTTCCATCTTAGAGAACGAATTACTTGGAATTCAACTGATCGCCAGTACTCTTATTACGCTTCAATTGCATTGATGCATCATCTTCCTCATCCATTGTATTTTAATTGTTGTTATCTTCTATATCTATAATAGTTAGGATCCTTGTATTATTTTTACCTTTAAAATTATTAAGTTTTGATTGATTCACAATATCCCTCAAATCTTAAAAAGTGCTATTTTGTTATTTCTTTCTCTTATTTAGTCTTCTTGATGTCAGGTCCCCAGCTCCTAGGTTATTCACACTGTACTCGCTTTTCTAATTGTGTATCCTCTCAAGCATTTTGAAGTTCTATCGCATTATTGACTCCAATTACTACTTTCTTTGAAATCCTGCAGTGTGCATAATTTATTCCTAATGAATTTGATAGGATTTGTTTTGAAACTACTATACTCTGGATTTACTGTTTGTTTTCATGATGCCCATCAACTTATTCAGCAGTATTTCATTCTTCTTTTGAAGTTCTTGCATTTTATCTATAATCATTCAGGTATTAGAGGTCATCATAATATATTAATATCACATGCTTTATACTTATATCTATATACTTACCATTTTCAAAGTAAGATTCTCTTTTTGAGGAAAACCTATCTGCACTGGATATTTGCTTTTTCCTTATACTCTCATCACTCACAACTGCAGGACTGCTATTGTTGATAATATGCGGTTGTTCTACGTAATCTGACGTTCTAGATCGCTTCGGTGCAGAGATATGTTCACTGAATTTTCGAATGTTCTATGGTTACTGTTTTTATTAGGAGTTTATACTATATAATTCTTCCTTTGACCTCTTTTGAACAGTAAGTTAAGAGACTGATTAAGGTTTTGGCTCTAGATTTTTATTCAGAAATTAAATCTATTGGCATTCTACCTCTTCCTCAAAATCATTTGAATATGATTGAGTATTTTTATCATCTATTTAATGGCCTGATTACTGAGGATTTAAAGGAGGCTTTGATGCTTAAGGATTTTTTTTGTTAAGCGGAATACGTAGGGGAGGACTCTTGTACGACTCAGGGGGAAAGTTCACATTCTTCGAATCTTAGAACTAATTCATTTTATTAGAGTTAATAATTTATTAAACCTAAATAAAATGCTTAAAAAAGCCACTTTAATGCTAGACTTAGAGCCTTCTAACACTGAGAAAAAAAAGCATAAGAAAATGAAAAAATCTCAGACAGAGTCTGTGCTAGAAAAACTTTCAATCGATAAAAGCCTTATAGAATAGTTCCCAATGCTGAAAGTATCTCTCTACAAAGATGAGATAAAGCAGCTTTGATCAGAAATTAAAAAAGATATCAAAGATGCAAAGGACAATAAGCATTATTACTATATGAGAAATCATATCTACTTCAAAGATGGTATTTTATAGCCTCCTTTGGACATACCATTTGATGATCACTATGTTAGCACAGTAAGCAACAATGGTGATAAGATATTCAAGAATGCATAAAAGCAGAATAAAGATATCTATTAGGAAATTAGAATGCTTCGAACCTCTGCTCATACAGGAGCAGTTGGAAGTAACACTAAAAATAAGGTACTAACTGAAGTGCAGACTCATGTGTAACGGTAATTTCAAATAGACCAGATTATGAGAGCAAGGCACGATGGTAAGTCATAAAAAGTCTATTTCGGTGTCAGTTTGGATAGAAATTCTGGACCTAGTGGTCCAGGGGCTGGGGAAAGCAAACATCTTCTATCTCAGTAGTAAATTAGCCATGTGATATACAAAGACAAAAATAATCACAAACGCAGAGATAGCAATACGAGCAGTGAGGAGGATGAAGAGGATTATTCAATCATAGAAGATTCTAAAGCTAATACTAATCGCATTAAGGAAGATCAACTCAATTAGACTTCTCTATTTAATCCAAATCATCCACTTATAAAAACTTAATTGTTAATGACACTGCATCCAATGAGTGGGGGGTCATCTAAGAAGTTCACAAATCACGATTTATCGAATCATAACATTGGAATAAAAAGGATACTTAAGACTATTAGTCCGAGTCGCATGAATGGTATCAACTTATATGAAGGATCTGATAGATCACCTAATGATTTCACTGATGCAGTTTTGCCTGCTGATGTGTAAGTCATTCGATATAAACAGTATGGAAGAAAACTTTCCTTGATACAACAACCATCAGTGTTCGAGCATTTAACTAAGCTGCACAATTCGAAGAACCCGAGCCCTAAAAACAGACAAGAAATCTAAAATTAGATGACTTAGTTCAGGTAGAGAAGGAAAACTCAAGCATTGATTAACTTTTAAAATCTTCAAAGAAATGAAGAAGATAAGTCTAATGTGCAACCAAGTGTCAGAGACATCGTTACAGGGAACAATCAAAATCATCTCAGCAATTTAAAGAAAATAACTGCTTCTCAAGTTAGAGACTCTGAGATTTACAAAGACCTCTAGCAATAAAAACTGATATTTTTAGCGTCGAGGCAGGTCATAAGTAGTCAGCTTTAAAAGGATCTAAAGCAGTTCGAGAAGAACCCACATACGAAGGCTATCAAAAATAAATTCCTTAGAAGTTTCAATGAGCAAATTTCGAATTAGTACCATCAATCAAGAAACAAATCTGTATTAAAGGCAAAAACATCAGAGTAGTCAGTTGCAAATATCAAATAGAGTGGCCAGGAGTTCATTTAATCCTATGACTATATGCGTGAGCTTGACTAAGATTAGTTTCACTACAATAGAGTGCTGAAAGATCAGTCGCAGGAAGAGATTCAGCGCATTGACTAAGTGGCAGACATGCTTATCCAGGAGTAAAAAGAACTTTAGTTAAATGAGTTTAACTTGAGGCGCCGATCTAGACTCTCATACTTTGACTAAGTACAGCTCAATCAGAGTATGATACCACATTAGCATTCAACTTCGCTATCGCTGAAGAAAAATTATTCGTAAGCATCTAATCTCTAATCAATAAATGAATCTCCTGGAAAGTAACTTTACTTTAACAAGGAGCCATCTTCTCTCCCTGAGTATAGATAGATACCCTCAGATTCAACGAACCACTCCAAATCGAAGCAGATACTGTCAAAGCTGATATAGCAGACTAGAGAAGTTTAATTTAAGCCTTTTAATGAGATGAAATCTGATAACAAGCTGGTAAGCCGAAATTCCAATATCGACATTGCTATCAGTAATACCTATAATAGTGTTAATGACATTAGAAATTAAACAGCAAAAAACATCATCAAGTCTCCTTAGCTTTTGGATAAAATGCCTAATATATCTCATAATAAAGGGGATTCTAATTACCTGAAGAAATTTGATCCCTCCAGTAATGTACAAAAGAGAGCTAAGATTTATGATTAACTAAAGCATAAGTAGCTTTAGAAGGTGGCATCAGAGGGGAATTTCATGGTGTCAAACCAAGAGATTATTAACAAGATTGATAGGATGAGGCATATCCAGCCTGAGATTAATAAGAAAAAGAGCATGGCTGAGATGAAAAGAGCGGTAAAGATTATCAAAGCAACGATTGAGGATAGGGAGAGTGACGAGGAGTTGCAGAAATACAAGGAAGCCAAAATGTAGATTAAGAGAGATTTAATGTTTAGTCATATTAACTAGAAGCAGGGATAAGGCTAAAAATGATACTTTAATTACTTTTGACTAATTCGATATTTTAATTTTAATCGATATAATGATGATTAATATTGATGGGGTTTTGGGGTTTTGGGGTTTTGGGG